GCGGTGGGCAGAGTAAAGAGCTTGAGACCTTGCCCAGATCAGGATGAGCTGGGACTGTCCCCAGCGTGGCCATTCGCAGGTCTCATGGTGCCTGGGTCTGCTCTGCGTGCTGCTGGCTGTGGTCAGAGGCGGGGATGGCGGGACACAGCTGCCGTGGGTCGAATCTCTACATATTTCTTAAAATGACGTCGGTGTGAAGAGCTCTCAAAAACACCCAAAACTGATCTGGACGATGTAGCCACACAGCTCCTGGGGATTTGCCTAGAGGACATCCAAGCCAAGCTCACACACACACTAGCACACTGGTGTTCATAGCAGCCATGGTCCACAGGCCCCCACGAGCCGCCAGCATGGGAAAGGGCAAGGAACTGGGATTGTTCTCAACCAGAAAGAAGGGGCAGAGTCATGCCATTTGTAGGGAAATGGAAGCAGCTCGGTATGATCGTGGCGAGTGAATTAAGCCAGCTCAAAAGGGCAGACGTCACGTTTTCTCTCATTTGCGGATCCTAGACCTTATATAGATGGATAAAGTCATGTATGTATGTGTGACGTGAAAGTAGAAATGAAACTGTCTAGTTTGGAACATAGGAGACTCGTGAAGGAAGTGTAGGAAGCAAGCTGAGCCCAAATACTTGTATCTGAAAATTTGAAACAGTAATTTAAGAAAATGAATCTAGGGACAGCTGTTATGGCCCAGCGTGCACTTTTTGCATTGTTTGGGTCAGGGAAATGACAGAGCCAGGCGCCTGCATGTTTCTGAGCTCTGCACACAAGTCTGGTATCCCTAACCAGATCAGGCAGTGTGGTGCTCAGCTGTCCTTGGCTTTCCAGCAGCTCCTCATACTGGGCACCAACTCCTGAGGGGGAGCCTGTTTCCAGCCCCCCGAGTCAGTGGTCGGCTCTGGCGGGGCAAGAGGGCCGCCACACAGCAGGTAAATGGGCTGTTCCAGACTCCGGGAAACACTGTGTCAGGTGCCATTGCAGCCCCTGAGGTGGCTGAGGGGACTGGGCCAGAAGCACAGCAGTGTCAGGTGATAGACTGCTGAAGCGGCCACTTAAGTTCTTCCAGTTTTCGGGGCTTTTGACTGTTAGCAGTGTTGTGTGGCTCACATGAGTACAAGTGTCGGGTGAGTGGGAAAGTGGGAAGGGCAGCCGGGCTTCCCAGCCTCTTCTCTTTCCAGCATGGCTGCAGGAGCAGCCCTCAGCTCAGCACAGAGGGAAAGGCTCTCCACCATCTTCACAGAGCCAGGGTGGTGCCCCCAATTCCTCCTGACAGAGCAGAGCTCCCCATGCTTCCAGGTGAAGACTAAATTCATTCAAGTCAACTTTGTTCCTTAGAGGGGGCAGCCCGGTCTGTTCCCACTCAGGTTGGCAGAATGCTGGCTAACACTGAAGCAGAAGGGGGGGGGGACTAGAAAAATGCAACAACACAGAGGACTGTGCAGCTCCACCTCCAAGATCTGTCCCAAAGGTAGCCATTAGCAAAAACAGAGAATGTAGTTAAACAGTATTGTGGAGAGATACCCAGAGCAGCTAAGATCACAAGAAAACAGCAGGCACGCATCTATGCAGAGAAACGTGAATGGGTAATTTTCTAGGAAAATGATGTTACCAGAATCACTCAAGAAGTAAAGACATGAGCTGGGCATGATGGCACACACTTGCATGTCAGCGTGTGGGAGTCAGAACTAAAGCCATGTGACCTCAGGTCTGCAGTGGAGACCAGAGCTGGGAGTGACCCAGCCGCCAGATGGTGACCTCAACAGGTGGACAGCGTGGAGTGACACGGATGCAGGCTGCAGCTGTGCCTTCTTCCAACGGAGAGGAAGGGACAGTGTTTCTGCTCCTTGGAGGGACCCCCCCCCCCCGTTGTGGCCTCCTCCCCAGTGTGGCCTGCACAGAGCATGGTTGTGTGGCAAAGTGTGGCCAGGCGAGCAGTGGTTTTCTGTGTCCCTGTAGATTGATACAGGACTGTGTATGTGTGGCCTCGTGTCTGTGATTCATTAAAGGCATGCCTAGGAAAGACTGAGCACCAGGTCTGGGCTGATGGTTCCCTCCCTGACAGTGAGGGTTGGAAAGGGCACGGAAGGATAACTGTTGCCTTCGAGAGCTCGGAACCCAACGACAGCCTTGCAGACTGTAGAGACGGTCTACGGAGTGAAGGCAGTCTGCCTGTTACTGTCCCCACATGAACCCGTGAGCCAGTTAACTGACCACATTACCAATGTCTTGATGTCATGTAAGGTAACATAGGGGCCGCCATCACCCTTCTGACCTTACTGTCCCAGGACTTGACCCCCACCTTAGGCATGTGATGTGTTCTGATTAATTTCTCACTGTGCGCCCTCAGCTTCACCCTTAGGATACCCTGGATAATGCCTGGACCAGTAAGTCACACGGTCCCAAGGCCTGGTCCCAAGGACAAGTGTTAGTCTTTGCACGTGGCGCAGCAACGTGTAGGATCCCTCAGCCTGTGAAGGTAGCATTGCTCTGCCTCGGAGAGCCAACTGTGCCTTTGATGTGCTGTTGGAGAGGGCAAAAAGCCTGTGTGCAGAGTGAGAGCCATGTCCTTGAGAAGCAGGATTCTTCCAGAACTCTCTATAGCTAAAGATTTTTTTAAAACCTTGTAATTTTACTTTTAAATTTTCATATTTGTCATTGTATTTATGTAGCTTTCCCAGCCCCTCCACTGCCCCCCGATCCGTGACCTTTCTCTTAATTATGGTCACACACAGACACACATGCACGCGCTCGCATGTATGTAAACACAGCCTGCTGAGTCTATTTGACGTGTGTGTGCGTGTGCGTGCTTTATCTGTGTCTGGCTTGTCAAGTCGCCCTTTTAATTAAGGGCAGGAAGCTTATGTCCAGAAGGGTGATGTCAGTACCAAGTCTTTGGAGCCTCAAGTAAGCTGGGCCCCAAGTGTGTCTGGGAGAAGAGACCCAGCTGCGGCCTTCTCTTGCTGTCAGCTGTGCAGTCCGGCGTGGCTGGGAGAACGCACCCTCCAGCACCCGCTTCCCACTGCCTCTGCGGCAGCCAGGACAGGCTTCCAGGGCCATTTTTAAAGAGCTTCCCCTGGGGCCCTGCCTCAGTTGAGTGTGAGGCTTATCTGGATTTGTGCACACAGTCACTCTAACCTAAGGGGTGTGATCCTCCAGTTTGTCCGTGTTACTCCCTGCCTTGAGAACGGGATCCTGCTGACTGACGCCTCATGATTGCCAAGAGCGAGAGCTGTTGCCTCATGAATATGTAGGGGAGTTTTAATAAGATGGTGTGAAGCAGTGGCCTGCTTGTTCCAGAAAAGCTTCCAGAGGCGCAGGATACTTCCTGAAGCCCTGGGCGGGGGTGGGGGTGGGAGTGAGTTCACTGCAGAGAAGGGGAGGAGGAGAACAGGGCTTGACTGGATGGGCCCAGAACTGGCGATTTGAGAATGGTAGATGCCAGTCCATGATTCTTGCATTCTGCCCCTCTCTGCCCGCTAAGTCTCTTTGAGCCTTCTAACCCAGAGCTGCTGGCTCAGTCTCTCCCGCCGGACTGTGAGGACTCCTGGCTGCAGAGGTGGTATGCCTTAAAGCACGGAGCCCTCCCTCTTGTAGCACTACAGACTGGCCTCTTGATGGAGATTCATTGACAGTTGAAACTGCAGATTCTTCTTAAATCTAACTTCCTGCTAATTTTTGTCAGCTTGCTTGTCCACGAAGGCCCATCTACAGCAAGATCAGATGCTAGCTGAAGAATTTGTTTCCCACACCCCACAAACAACTGTTATATGATTTTTGTGTGTGTGATTAATTAAAAGGAACTTACTATAATGACTAAAATTAACCAAAGTTGCCCCGTCTGCAATTCCAGCCTAATTGCTTTGTAATTGCGCTGCGTTTCTTGCTTATGCTCCGACTCCGAGGCTCGGAGCTCATTTGTTGGTCCTAGGGAAGTGCACGTCTTATTCCTGCCCTCTGAACACCTCTGCTGGCGTCCAACAGCCCCTCATTGCATAGTGGAGCACTGCGCTGTGGCTGAGCTCCAGGGTGCCTCCTTTCCCACCGATCTCCATCCGAGTGTGTGGGGCCACAGAAGGCTGTGCTACCCAAAGAGATGCCATGGGCGTGGAGGGCGGGGACAGGGACTGGGCCAGCCTGGTTACAGGCCCCCTGCTCCATTCAGTCCGCCCTCCCCACCCTGCTGGGACTCAGGACTCCGGTTGCACTCACATGCAGCCAACAGTTTCCCAAGCCTCTCCCCAGCCTCTCGTGCTCCCAGGGGCTTGTGTGGAGACATGTTCTGTGCCAGCGTCCTCGAACTGGCCTGGAAGGAGTGTGCACATGCATTCTGCTGGCTGGAGCCTCCTCGCTGTGGCACTTGTCTTCAGCCAGGGCCCAGAGGGGCATGTCCTTACAACTGTCCTTCAGAGTCTCCTGTGACAGGCATCCACAGCATCCAATGAAGAGGTCCAGCGCCACCTGCCCCCTTTGCAGGCCTGAGTTGTTAGTAATCGTTGAGTCTTAGGCCCTAAGCTTGAGTTAGTTCTAATGTGCCTGCACACCTGCCAGTCCTGTTCCTTGAACAGAGTTACTGGGAGCAGGCTTGGCAGGCAGCGTGAAGGACTAAAGTCAGGGGGGTCCCTGGATACCGAGAGAGCCAGTCTCCCAAGCTGCATGTGCCTGTCACGGGCAGAACACAAGGTGAGAGAAAGGCAGTGGCATCTGTCAGCCGAGACCTGAGGCAGGTGCATGGCTGGGGGGTGTCTCCTGAAAGTGGGAGGAATCCGATGCTTTAGAACACGTGGTTTACATGGTACAAATCTGTTCTCAGTTCATACAGCTTGCAGAGCTCCCTGGCTGTCTCTGCTTCCATATGTCCGTCTGGGCCAGAACCTGCCACAGCTGGCAGGCTGAGCACAGTCTTCCGGTCTCGGCGGCGCGTTCTGCTCTCCTCATCAGTCAGGGCTGAGCCATCAGTCGTGCCCATCGTTCACAGGACAGTCTCTCTTTCTCCTCAGGTGTCAGCGCAAGCAGTGGAGGGTGGACCTGCCAGCCACCAGCGTGGTGATCACATTTCACAATGAAGCCAGGTCGGCCCTGCTGCGGACGGTAGTCAGGTGAGGCCTCTCCCGGGGGGGGGCATCTGGGGCACCTGGGCTGCCAAGCATGGGCACGGAGGAGCTGTTGGCAAAGCTGGGGACCGAAAGAGAGAAGAGGCTCAGGATAGCGCTCCTCCCTACCAGGCCCTGTCCCTCTCTTTCCTCAGCGTCCTTAAGAGGAGCCCACCCCATCTCATCAAGGAGATAATTCTGGTGGACGATTACAGCAATGACCGTGAGTTACTGTGTCAGCCGGCCTGGTTTGGGGTGTCTGGGTGGAGTGACTAATGCAGGCACCTAGGGTGGGAGAGATGTCCTCCAGAGACCCCGGGGAGGGGCTTCCCACAGGTGACTGAGTGTGTGGCCTTTCGGCCTAGAGCCCTGTGTAGACTCAGGGTTCACCATTCTCTGCCTCTTTTCTCTCCTTAGCTGAGGACGGGGCCCTCTTGGGGAAGATCGAGAAAGTGAGGGTCCTCAGGAACGACCGACGAGAAGGTAGGGAAGTCCTTTTCTGTGGTGCTTTTGAGATGGTGTGTGTTGGTTGTTTTTTCATTGTGTAACAAACGCAAGTTAGAGAAGGAAGTGTTGGTTTTGGCTCATAGTTCCGGGGATGCAGTCCACCGTCGGGGCAGGAATGTGAGGTAGCTGCCCACAGTGGGCCTGCAGTGAGCACACAGTGGGCCTGCAGCAAGCAGACAGAGGTGAGCCCTGGTGCTCAGCTCACTTCTTACACTGTCCAGGGCCCCAGCCCATGAGATGCTGCCACCCACTTTGGACCTAATCTTAGAAAAATCATCTCAGACTTAGCAGAGGTATGTTTCCATGGTGATTCTAAGTCATGTCAAGTTGACAGTCAAGATTGACCATCACATGGTAGACCCTGTGTTAAGTGCAGTACCCAGATCCTATTCCAAAGGAAAGGAAAAACTGGTTTATTCCAAGTCAAGTACAAATGCCCTGGCCTAGCCACACCGCATCAGGTTGTTCTGAATGACACCCACTGTGGAAGAGGTGTCACGAACTTAGTCACAGAGCACATTGCCATATGTCATTTACCAAGTGTCTTGGCGGGGACATTAATTAGACAAGTCACAGCAGAGCAGAGGAGCCTGTGTCGGTGGATAGCAGTTTATCTGCAGAAGACCTGGCTGTCGTAGGATGCTTGGTCCACAGTGGTCTGCTGCACATCCAGGCGTTCAGTTGGTGGGTAGCAGTGAGGTGCAGAAGACGGCGGTCATTGGCTGCGTGGTCAGATGCAGTGCTTGGTCCTAAGCAGACAGGCCGGTGGGACTGAGAGCTGCATCAGCAGCTCGGAACACTGGCTGCTCTTCCAGAAGACCCACATTTGAATCCCAGCACCCACATGGCAGCTCACAGCTGCTTGTAACCCCCAGTTTCAGGGGATCCAACATCCTATTCTGGGCCCCTCAGGGCGTAGGCACATGGTGCCTACATTCACATGCAGATGTACAGACGTACAGTAGGCACAAATGCCCATACACATAAAATTAAACTTTAGTAAAAACCAGCAAAGCCAACGGCTTGTGATCTGCAAACTTCCCATGAAGTTCTAGTCAGTGAGCCAGTCAGCATGGCCTTGTGCGCAGAAACGGCTTCTTCAGGGACCCCACTTCCCACCCGCCTCTCCTGGCCTGTGGACGTGCTCCCGCAGAACAGCAATGGTGTGTGTCCTCCCTCCTCCAGGGCCACCTGGGAGCCCTGTCCCAGCAGATGCAGAAAGGACGGTCGCAGCTTGACCGATTGGGACTGTTTGTACACGAGGCCAAATTTTCAAACCACATTTGTGTTTACACATTTGGAAAATTGGCTTTTGTCTTTCACTCACAGCCAGGAAAGTCTCGTCAGTGGCTTGACTGCGGAGGTTTAGGGAACGCATTAAGGCTTAGCCATAAGGAGGACAGCGTCGCCGTGTTCCAGGCAGGCGATATAATCAGACTCAAGTTTGACAGCCTGCTGAAGGAGAACTGTCCCACACGGGGAGAGAGCTGTCGTTTCTTGTTGATGTGATTTTGCAGATGCCAGCCTGTCACCAGCTGTCAGTCCATCAGTGTGGGTGGTTATGGAAGAGACTGCCTTCCTGATGCAGGGTCTGGAGGCCTCTCAGGGCGTCTCGGGTATGCTGCTGTTTGGGTGCACCCTCTTCCAGCCTCGAGCATTACAGAGTGGTGACACTTGCCACTGTGCTGTGTGAGGCTGGCGTGGACCTGGGTTGGCCTCTGTGACGCAGTCAGTGAAGGCTCTGTCTTCTGGATCCAGTCCAGGCAGGGAGGTGTCCTGGTGGGATCTTGTTTTCTTTTTCTCTTTTTGCTTAAAGTGTCTGGGTGTGTTTTCTTCCGTGCATGCCCCCGTACTGCAGGCAAGTTTGGTGCCTGCAGAGGCCAGAAAAGGGTGTCCAGTCTCTTGGAGCTGGATTACAGACAGTTGTGAGCCGCCATGTGGGTGCTGTAGTTCAGACCCAGGTCCTCTGGAGGGGCAGCCATCACCCCGGCCCAGCAAGGACCTTTTTTTCTTTAAAAACAATATTTACACTTTATATGTGTGTGCGTCTGTGTGTGGGTGTGTTGCATGAGTGCAGGTGCCCGTGCAGACCAGAAGAAGGCATCAGGTCTCCGGGAGCCGCAGGTATAGGAGGTTGGGTGCTGGGAACCAAACACAGGTCCCCTGGGAGAAAAGCGAGTACTCTTCACCACTAAGCCATCTCTCCAGTCCCCACAATCTTAGAAAAATAACAATAACAAAAAAAAAAAAAAAGTACATTCATTAGCTGATTACTTTGTGCTTTACGCTGTGCTAGGTAGACGAGGGTTATGTGAAAGTTGTTATCCCCGCCCTAGGGAGCTTGCATTTTTAATTTTGGAAATCGAATGCGAAGCTCTAACGAAGACCGGGCAGCACGTGAGTCACTGCACGGGGCCTCGGGGCACAGCAGCGACAGTCAGAGAAGGCTCGTTCAGGAGGCACCAAGGGCGTGAGCTCTACAGTGGAGGCGGCCTTCTCACCAGAAAGGCCCAGGCACGGCTGTAAGCAACAGAAGGCTCGCTGGACCCCAGTGAGTGCTGTGGCTAAGCCCACTGCTACCCAGCCCCGGCCAGCAGCCCACACCACACAGATGGTGAAGCCATTGTCATCTGAAGCGGTAGTGAACCAGAGAGCGGATGTTCCCCGAGTTCGTCCCTGAACAGCTGGCTTCAACTCCGTTTTCACACACTCTCCCAACCTGAAAAGGGAAAAGGTCAACAAGAGCTTAGACAAGAAACAAGAGTGTGGAGGGCAGAGGAAAGAGGGAGCAGAGGACGTGTCTGTGCCGGTCGGTAACTGATGATCCCGTTAGCTGGAGACAGTGCTTTGGTCACTTAGAATGCAGAAGAGCACACCTAAACGTTAGCTCTTGCATTGTTTTAGCTAAGGTGTTCCTTTGGGAAGAGCCTGCACCTCTGTGCCATGTCCGTGGTCAGAGTGCGGAAGCCAGGTCATGGCTGGGGTGGAACAGGCCATGTGTGACAGCTGAGCAGGAAAGCACACCCTGCTCAGAGCTTGTGTGCACACTGCCCTCAAGCCCCGCCTGTGAACCGGGCACAGATGACTGAACTAGCAGCCGAGAACGTGGTCCCAGGAGCCACATCTGTAGCTGCTCTAAGGAAGCACACAGACTCGGTAATCTTGGCGTTGGTGCTACTGTCCTGTGCCTAGGAGTCTCCAATCTGGTCCCCGTGTCCTGTCTTGTTCCATGGCTGCCACCTTCATCTGTTAGGTTGTAAAGCCCATAATGCACATAATGCAATGTTAAAAATCTCCTATCTTTTAAAATAAATACTAAGTTATCTTTTAAACATTTAAATTTGTTTGAAAGAAATTAAGTTATTTTTAAAGATAAAAAGTTATCTTTTAAAGAAATTAAAAAGAGGTGAGACTCTGGCCAAGTTGTCTGTTCCTCCTTCACATTTTTGTGGTGGTGTTTGCCCTTCAGCCCAGACAGTTCTTTCAGGACTCAGTCAGAGAATCTCTTTCTTTTACTCTTAAAGAGACTTGACTGAAAGTTTTCTTTCAGCCCTTTACAATATTGTGGGTGTACCTCTGTCTTCTGTTTTGTTTTGTTTTGTTTTTTCTGTGTGTGTGTGGTGTACAAATGGTGTGTGTGAATACGTACATGGTTGAAAAGTATCTGCTAGGGTGCTAGGAACCGAACCCCCGTCTTCTGAAAGAATGGAGAGTGCGTTTACCCACTGAGCCATTTTTCCAGCTGCTTTTCTTTCAGAACATAGTCATAACACATGTTGTCCCTTGCATGTGACAGGGTGCTGGCAGCAGCCCTCTGAGTCCTCATTGCTGTCTCTCAGTCAGCCTCGATCCACCTAGCCCTCGCTGTTTTATATTTATCCTGCTTCAGGTTTGCCAGAATCCTCTTGAATGTGTAAGCTGATGTTTCTCACAGATTTAGAAAGTGATTGGCCATCATGTCTTCAGCTGGACTCCAGTTCGCTTTTCCGTTCTGGCTGCACATAACCACGTCGTAACATGGCGTAGTCACTTAAGCCTGTTGCTCCTCGTGTTTTTGTCTCCAGTTCCGGGTGACCTGTTTCTGCTGATCTCCTCTGGCTCCCTGGTCTCCTGCCAGCTTTCTGAGCTTTCCACTGGAGGTGATCTCACTTTTCAGTGTGGGATATCTGTTCGACTGTGCTCACAGCATTCACTTCTGCTAAGGTTTCCCACCCGTTCACTCACGAACACCATCATTCACATGAGTTCTCGAATCTTAAATCTTTTTTAAGATTTTTAAAAATCTTTTAAAGTTTTTAAATCTTCGTCTTTTAATTCCCAATCTGAGTCCTCTCAGGGTGACTTTCAGTTGAGGTTTCTGTTTTTCCTCTTGGGTTTGTTCCACATTCTCTATTCCTTCTTCTGTTTACTGATGTTTCAGTGGATGGTGGATGTTCTGAATGATGTACTGTAGATACTCTGAGTCATTTCATTTTTCTCCAAAGAATATTAGCCTTTGCTATTCAGGGCAGCGCAGTTACCAGCTGTCTTCTTCACCTCTGAGACAAAAAGGAACACAGCAGGGGAAATGTGGCTGGACTTCCGGATGCTTTATTGCATTCTTTGTCCTTCCTCCCTACCCCACCCCATCCCTTCCAACCCCCAACACTGGGTAGGAGAGAAAGAATGTTAGAGGTAAAGGGGCTTTGGTATTGGTAGACTTCTTCCTGCTTATGAGGGGTGTCAAGTTTCTTGGGCAAGTTTGATCTTCATCGCCAGAATATCTCCAACAAGCAAAGAGCCCCCGTCGCAGCAGCAGCAGCAGCAGCCACCGCCACTGCCGTTTTTCTCATGGATTTTGGCATTTATACACCCTCTGAAGAGTCCCCAGAAATCCAAACATAAACTGTCTGCAGCTGGCAAAACCATTCCTGGCTAGAGCCCTCGGCAGATCATAGTCAGCCGCTGTGGACAGTCTGAAGCAGCCCTACATCCCCACACCTGGGATTAAACCCAAAACATTTTCACATAACATTTCTGTGTTTTTAAAGAAACCACAGTTCTCACTACAGGGAAAGGTTTATTTTTCTCAGAGCTTCGGGCCTTCAGTCCATACCACTTGGTCCTGTCATTGGGCCTGAGGTCAGTTGGAACAGCACAGTTTAGAAGGCTGTGTGGCGGGTCAGGGAAGTCAGGGAGTGGGGAAGAGACCGGGTCTGCGAAGCTGTGCCCTGCCAGGGGCCTGTTTCCTCCAGCCAGGCCCTCCCTATCTGCCACCACCTCCATCTCCCACAGTGCCACCAAATGATGATTCTGTCATCGATGGCTTTACTCACTGATAAGACGACAGCCTTACAGTCCTCTCGTCTCTCAGCGCCACCAGCTGGGGACCAAGGCTTCAACGCACAAGCTTTCATGGCGGGCGTGGGCTTAGTGTCCCTGTCACACACTGGCAGAAACCAGGCCTTACGCATGATGTAGGTGCTTCTCTGTGCTTCATTCGGGCAAGTGCATTTTGGGTGGATCCCTTATTCACAAAACAGTTTTATCCTAAATGGGATCCTTCTGTAATTTCCGTAGGAGGGCAGAGTGTTTTCCAAACTCCATTTATTCAGCAGAGTTCAAGTTCAAGCCCTGTGTCCACTGGAGTGGAGAGCAGCTGAGGCCTCGGCTCCTCTGGCCACCGATGTTCTTGGGTTGCTCTGCTTCTGTGGCTCTCTGAGCCAGGAGTTGGCCACAGGCCTCGGGGGCTCATCACAGGATTGGGGCCTGTTCTCATTTCCCTTCCCAGCCACGTAGAAGCCCTGCATGTGGTCCACTGACACCTCAGGCTTTGCGGCGTGCACAGCAGCAGACGGTGGGCACCGGGCAGTGAGGGCAAGCAGGTGCAGCCCCGCCCGGCTCACTGTGCCACTCCTGCTGTCAAGCTCAGCGTTCCTTGTTTCTTCTCTGAGTGACTTCTCGAAGCCCTTTCAGCTTCCACTGCGTACACGGCTGTAGCTGTTACCTGAGCAAAGGCTTGTGTGGCGTGGAGCTGGCATCTCCTCTACTGAGGAGCATACAGTTGATAAGAGTCTTTGACAATCCATTTTGCTGTGTAAAAAGGAACTTGAAATGCTTGTCGTGAAGAGCTGTGTCCCGTCCAGGTGTAGTGTCTCCCACAGCTCAGAACACAGCTGATGATGTCACAACCCATCCCAAGCTGTGCACGCAGAATGGGGCCAGCAGTGACATTTGTGTCACGGCCACACAGCTGGTTTCGCCCTGGTGCCCCTGTGGTCGAGACAGCGCTGTCTGAAGTGCAGCTGCAGGTGTTGTGGCCACCAAACGTGGCAGCACCAGCTCCCGGGGAGTGCAGTGGTACCTTCCTCATCCCAGCCACGTGGGAACGGTAGTGTGGCAGCAAGGTGCTTTTGACTAGGTGGTAGCCTTCCTCAGGGGCAGCAGCCTTAGGAAAGCTGTCTTTCCCAGCGTCTGACGAGCATGGGAAGTCCTGCTGGGGGTCTACCACGGTAGCTCTGGAGCAGTGCTGGCCATGCCAGGCAGGCTCTCGGGCGTGCTCTTGCCCCTCACGCACTCTGAACTTACCCCACAGGTCTGATGCGCTCTCGGGTCCGGGGTGCCGACGCTGCTCAGGCCAAGGTCCTGACCTTCCTGGACAGTCACTGTGAGTGTAACGAGCGATGGCTGGAGCCGCTGCTGGAGCGAGTCGCTGAGGTGAGCCTCGGTCACAGAGGGTGAGCTGCACACCTATGGAAAGGACATGATGCCCTCAGCCTTGTTTTATGCTGTCCCATCAGTACAGAACTGTCATTTTACCAGTGGAATATAGGTTTTTATGGGGCTGGCAGGAGCCTGGGAGGAAAAGGTAGCCAGTCATGGGAGCACCACCCACACACACACAGAGACATAGAGGAAGTCACAGGAGCCCACACGCACTCACCCGTGCACACAGGAAGATACGTGGTCAGCGAGGTGGCTAGCGGAAGTGCCATCCGGCGGGATGTCTGGGAGGAGGACTGGGGTGGCTACAGTGATAGTCGTCTGCCGTGCTAAGGACGGGCTGCCGCAGCGCCCGTGGTGGGCTTGCCACGTAGACTTTGACCGCACTCGGGCACATTCTGCCTTCTGGAGGCATCGCCACTGGCACTGTGTTCGCCAGTGTTATCTTTCTTGCCTTCTGCCTGCCTTACTGACTTTCTTTGCTTGTGAAAGTGCTTCCTTGGGGCAGTGAAGCAAACATAATGAAAGGGAGCAGCGGGAACACGTGCTGCCTGCCACGGTAGCACGAGGAGCAACAGGCAGCAAGTCACAAAGTACCGAGCGACCGAAAGCCGCCGGAGGCCTGTCTGTGCCTTTCCCGGGGCTCGTGGCGCGCTGGCTGCCCCTCTCACCTCATAGGTGAGGACACTCAGCTTCCGGGGTCAGTAACAGGCAGAGCCACACGGCCTTGCCGTGCCAGCTCCGCTGAGCCCGTAGCTGGCCGTGCCCCGCGGCAGAGGAGGGAGCAGGCCAACCCGTGGGTTCTGTGACTCTTCTCAGCAGAAGGAATGTAAAGCAGATTGACCCCAGCCTTCCCGGCCAGCCTGATGGGAGGCAGGGTGGCGGCTGCTCTGTCCCCCCTCACCCCGCAAGCAGGCAGGATGGGGCTAACACCCTGCGTGCTCCTGAGCTCTGCTCGGCCTGTTGCTGAGCTTCTGGGTCTTTCTTCAGCCAACAAGTGTTCTCTGAGTAACTCACGGACCACATGTCCTGCCTCGTATGAACTGTCAGCACGAGGCAGCGCTGGGTTGGAAGGTCCGAGGAGGTCACAGGCCTTGTGCCTGGTCCCGGCAGAGCGGCACTGAAAAAGAGGGTCCATGGGAGGTGGGCAGGGTTGGCAGACTCCCCGGGGAGCCGAGTTAGGCTCTGAGAGCTCTGCTCAGGACAGACTGCAACTTGGGGGGGTGACCCCCACATCTCAGACCACCTGCACCCAGAAGTCATCCCTGGCTCTGTGGTGGAGGCACTTCAGCCGTGAGTTCCTTCCTGGGCTACCTTGGTGCAGCTCATGAGAGGGTGACAGGCAGACGTGTCTGAGCTTGGTTTTGTGACACTGAAACCTACCCAGGGGTGAAATCCAGAACTGGGGCCACTGCCCAGCCCAGGCCTCTGGCCGGGAGAAGATAGAGCAGAGGTGTCCGCTCTCAGCTGTCCCCTGTCATGCCATCCCTCCCCCGCCCATGTGGGACAGTGGTATCTGAAGGAAGGCCTGCTGGGATGGCAGCTCCTGCCTGGCTGGGGTCGTAACCTCTCCCTTTGTCCCTGCTCAGGACAGGACGCGGGTGGTGTCCCCGATCATTGACGTCATTAACATGGACAACTTCCAGTACGTGGGCGCTTCTGCCGACCTCAAGGGGGGTAGGTGTCCGTGACTGGCCCCCAGGCCAGCTTGCTCTGACTGGCTAGGCCTCTGACCACTGCTGTCCTGCAGCGGCCGTGACAGTGACACAGAATTCATGCTGTAGTGTGGGCTGTGACTGGGACTTCACAGAAAGGACTGGACCTGCTTCCCTGGCAGCAACAGAAGCTCATTGTCCACCCCGTTGTCCCATTCTTCTCTCTCTGGGAGATGTTATGACTAAAGCTGGGGGAATTTGTGTTGTCCCTGCAGATGGGAACAGAGGGCTCCCTACCCACTTGGGGGGGGGGGGGCTGGGCTGAGAGACTCCAGAGCCATGACCAGCAGGAAGCAGGGCCTGAGACAGAGCCGAGGACTTAGGCTCGGCCCCAAACCGGCCTTGTTTCCTCTGCCTGCTCCAGCCCTTCCTCTTGTAGCCTGCATGCCTACTGGCTTGCCCTGGAGTCCTGCCATCCTGTTGCTGAACCCCTCGCAGCCCACCTACCAGGCACCAGTCCTACCTTGAGCTGAAGCTTAGACACTGGCACTTCCTCCCCGGCCACCCAGACACGGCCTGCTTCACCGCTGGGTGGGCTTTGTGTGAATGGACCCGTGTCTTGTAGGGCCACACAGCCTACAGGTGTTACCTTCTGGTCCCCTCCAGGGACCCAGGAGGAATCTGTCCAAGCTTCTCCTTTGCTTCTTAAGAGTTGTTGAGGCTCTGGTGCTTCTCAAGTGGGAGGGAGATTGCGTTACTGTGAGGTCAACATTATGGGCCTGAAAGGTCCTCGTTCGTGCCTGGAGAGCCGTGGGTCCCCAGAGGGGCTCTGTGCTGCACCGTGGCTCTAGGAACCAGCTGTGAGTCGTCCAGCTCTGACTCGTCCCCCGGTCCCCCGTCTGTGTGCACAGTTCTGCTGGCTGCAGCGGCATCACACACAGATGCCAGCCTCACACTTCACACTTGTCTTTACACAGTTTAATACCAGCAAATCCAGTCAGGCGTTGTTGAGCGTGTCTGCAGTCCCAAAACTCGGGGGCTGAGGCAGAAGTGCTCCAAGTTCAAGACTGACCCACTACCTAGTGGTTCCCCATGTCGAAATAAAAAAAAAAGGTTAGGGCAGCTGGAAAGATGGTTCAGAGGTGAAGAGCAGGCACTGCACTCCGGTGGTCTGGAGTCCCGGCGCTCAGATCAGGTGACCTGAGACTCCAGCTCCAAGGCTCCCACACTCTCGCCTGTACGCTGGCACCCGTGTGCACAGCCACATGCAGACACAGACACACGTGCGGTTTTGTCTTTTTAGAAGAAAGCTCGGCCCTCCTTTTGCTTTGGAGGGTTAGGAAGGTTCTCAGAGGTCCTTGCACGCCCACCGCCCCACTTCTCTCCCCTCCCCACCCCTTCACCTTGGTCGTTAGGTTGGTTGACAGCAAGTCCTCATGACATGTGCTCATGGTCAGGCGGCTCGGGCGGCAGCCAGTGAGAGCCGTCTCTCCTCACCGCTGTTTCTTTTGCGGCCGACAGGTTTTGACTGGAACTTGGTGTTCAAGTGGGATTACATGACGCCGGAGCAGAGACGGTCGCGCCAGGGAAACCCGGTGGCCCCAATAAAGTAAGTGTGCTCTGCTGCCCGGACGCTGGCCTCTGGGCCTTCCACCCCCGGCTCCCTGGCGTCTCATAGGCCAGCACCTGCCCGTGCTGCACAGTGACGGAACCCGAGATTCTTCCCCTCAGTTGAGTGCTTACAAGGCGTCTGCTGGTGGTCTGGGTCGCCTCCTGTTTACGATGTAGACTTTTCTGGAGCAGAGTGGGGTGGTGGGCTGTCCCTACGGTCAGGCCCACGGTTCCTGAAAGTCGAGGGTCCTAGACAGTCACTAGAGGCCAGCGGAGAGAGAAAGGCCCCTCAGAGCACCGCAGAGGTCGCCTGTGGTGGGCTAACGCTGGCTCTCCTCTCCCTGTCAGGACCCCCATGATTGCCGGCGGCCTGTTCGTGATGGACAAGCTGTACTTTGAAGAGCTTGGGAAGTACGACATGATGATGGATGTGTGGGGGGGCGAGAACCTCGGTACGTACGCCCCGGCCTCGATCCGCCAGCCCTGCCGTGGCGAGGGGTGTGCGGCACGCCGCCACGTTAGCGAGTAGGGAGGCCACGAGCAGGCGTTGAGTGGGCAGACCGGCTCCTGCGCACGGCACACACCCTGACCACAGGGGTGACAGTAGCTGTGTGCTTGGTTTCGGGATGGAGGAGGCGAGGGCTCAGCCATCCCTGCTCAGAAACCAGCCGCTGTCATGCCCTTGACCTGGGGAACTTGGAATGTGCACCTCCGAAACTGAGAAACACAGCTGTGCCCGGGCTCTGGCTAACTAGAATGGTGACGGGGCTGGGCAGCTGCTGGGGTGGCCGAATGTTGTCACGCATGGCACAGAGCGGGGCACGTGGATGGTCTTCAGAGCCTTCTCCGCTGCTTTCAGGAATCGTGTTTTTAATGACCCGTGGACATTGTGTTTGCCCAGGAATGGGACACGGGCGCTTCACAGGTGGCGGTCTATGGAGGCCGCTGTCTTCAGGGTCTCACCAGACAGATGAGAAGGCTGCAGCCAGCTTGTTTGGGCTTTGCTTCTTGTTTTACTTGAAGCCTTTGATTTCAAGTGTTTGTCATTCAGAGCTCACTTCTCTCACCATCAAGAGTTTAGTCTCTCTCGTCTTTACGCAAGTGTGCGAGGAACGGGGACAAGGAGAGGGAAGGAGCACGACGCCACTGTCACTTTGAGTACTTTTTCTGTGACAGAGACTTTGATAGTTCCTGTTAGCTTAAAAGAACAGCTTCAGCTAGCCTGTCGTCCGAGCGTGTCTTTTGAAGTTGGTGAAGGCATTTCGTCTGGATGCCTCTGCCCAGCGTGATGAGAAGCTCTGGCTCCATGGGGAGGCAAAGGGAGGCAAAGGAGTCAGTCTCCTTCCCGTGTCCCAGTGCAGTGTTGGCCTCGGGTGGAGTTTTGTGAGCAAGGAAGGCTTTGAGGTAGCCGGCCTGAAAGGGGCTCTGAGCCTCCTGCACAAACAGTTACAGGGGCTGGAGCCGCCCTGTGGGTCAGCATGTGTCCCAGGAGGCCACACCTCAGGAACCTCGTGGTTCTGAGAGCACAAATTGACAGGCATACTCAGCCAGCGTCCTGTGTGTCACCCTACAGGGTTGCTCTGCATCTAAGGTGACCTGGCCTGAAGCCCAGGAGGAACGGGTGTGATGGATGAGGCTTTCGTTTATGTTCTGCCTACTAACCTGAGGGGCTGGGCAGGTCAGACCGTTAGAAGGCCTTCCCTCCCTGGAGGTCTGATGTCGTCTGCCCCTGGGGATACCTGGAGGCTAAGCAGAGGGTGTGAGCAGGACGACCAGCCTGGGGTAGGATTCCACTTCTGCAGACCTCTGCTCCCAGCTCCTTTTGCTGGTGCCATGCAGACCCTGGCATTCCCAGCCCATGCAGGTTTGGTGGCTGTGGTGTGGAGAGGAGAGCAAGGGTGCCTGACTTCCTGGGGACAGAGCTGTCCTTGAGGCGGGCCCTGGCGGTGTGGTCCCATGCTGTCAAGGAGGCTGCCCAGGCTGAGCCCACCTGGACTCCCAGCCTCCCCACTGGCTCAGCAGATGCCCGCCCTGAAAGCTCAAGGCTGAGTCTTCAGCATATTGAGTTTTCTTCCTGAGATGCAGGGCACATCTTTCTCGAAGTGTTGTTGGAAGAGTTGGGAACAGCACCCTGCATCTGCCTGTTCAGGTGGCGCTGGCCACACAGGGGATTGGAATCTGACTGTTCTTCCCAAGGGAATCACTCCTGTGCCTTAGCCTGCCCTTTCCTCCTCCCCCATTCTGGGCAGGCTTCAGGCTGCACTGCCTCTGTGACAGCACATTGCTCTAGAAAGCTTAGCCCTCCACAGCCACACTGTCTACAAAGATCCTGCCTTGGTTTTTCTCTGTTCCGATTGGTGGCTGTGCTAGCTCTGGAGATTCCTCACCACACCAGCCCGTGCGAGGGCTGTGTCCGAAGACTAGACAAGCTTGCTCTTACATGGCACTTGGTCCTCCTGTTTAAAACAAAGTGTCTTGCTAAACTTAGGGCAGATGACTGTCCCTGGTCCCCACCCTGGAAACTTGGTTGCTGGACCTGCTGACACATGAGGGCAATAGGCAGAGCCTCTTTTCCCTGGCAGGAAAGCCCAGTGCATCCTGGTACATGTTCAGTTTACAGTGAACTGTGTATGTGTCCGTAGCTGGCAGCTGTGGTGTCGCTGAGGTGCACAGTCTTAGTCTGGGAGGCCTGTTGTCCTATTGTCTTTTCCATGCATGTATGGTCTCGGGTATGCTAGGGCGCTGGCCTGTCCAGGCTCCTCCGTAAGCTCCAGATCATGTTCTGGGAAGCAGCGCCTCACTGGTTTCCCTTGGCAGTTGAGAGGGAGGTATAGAGGTGACTAAGGCCGGGGCAGCTGCCACGAGGACAGCAGCTGTGACACACTGATAGTTAACGAATTTCCTTCCTACCAGAGATCTCATTCCGCGTGTGGCAGTGCGGCGGCAGCCTGGAGATCATTCCATGCAGCCGTGTGGGGCATGTGTTCCGGAAGCAGCACCCCTACACATTCCCAGGCGGCAGTGGCACTGTCTTTGCCCGGTAAGTAGCGAGAGGCCAGGCCAGCCGGCCTCTGTTTGCTCAGACTGTGGGGGACAGTGCCCTTTGACATGCATGACCCCCAAGCTGAGGAACGGGGCAGCAGCTAGTGTACAAGATGGCATTCCAGCGAGAAAAGAAGCTGTCTCGGTGTGCTCCACCGTGGTGGTGCTGGCTGGGAGCAGATGTGTCCCTTAAAGGTTCATCTGAGGTTTAGACAGAGCCCGGTGGGAGTGTTGTCTGGAGGCTTCACGGCCGGGCGGGGGGACATGGAAGGCAGACAGCCTTTCATCACCTCCCGGTAATGCCACCACACTGTGACCTAGTGACACGGCTTTCCTCACCGACACACGAGACCCAGAGTCTGTCTCAGTCAGCTGGGCACAGTCTACACCTGTGAGTGCACCGCATCAGAGCTCATCAGAGTTTTTCCACTCCGAACTGGGAGATGAGGACATTCTCACATGTGTCCCTGTCCTGACTGTCAACCTGGAGGGAAGTTGCTGGGGTTAGCACCATGATGAAGGCATTTACGTCTTTTCTGGCAGTGGCGGTGGCCTGCCCCTCCCCTATTCTGGACCACAGGAATGTGTGTCACGTTATGGGGAGAGTGAGCTCCAGGTGGAAACCAGTGTGGCAGCTTCAGCACTCAGAAGGCCTTACTGCAGGGGGTGCTTCGCCTCCAGGGTGACCAGTCCCTGCTCTGAGCAGGCCTGCAGCTGTCTGTGCATGCAGTGGCTTCCCTGGGGTGTCCTGACGTGAGCTCGCCCCGTTGTCATCTCTGACGTTCCCTCAGAAGGAAAGCAGAGTTAGGGGAGCCTGGTTCACTGTCCCAGCATGCCAGCGTCCATGCCCGCTGTGGAAGGCAGGGCAGGTGGAGTCTTGTGCTATGCTCTCCCAGCACCTTCTCTTCCATAGCAGGGGCATATTTTCAGTTGGTGGCGGTGCAGCTTCTGCTCTGTGATAACCTGTGCTGTGACAGTGGCTCCGAGACCGTGAGCACTTCCCACAGACCCTGAGGCAGCTGCTGCACCGCGCCATGCTCGTGGCCACTGTCCTTGTGCACGCTCCAGCAGACGTGCGCAGACAGGTGACTCCGGGGGAAGGGCGGAAGTTGTGGCTCAGGCGGGTTTACTCCGCTTTCAGGAACACGCGGCGGGCAGCTGAGGTCTGGATGGATGAATACAAAAACTTCTACTATGCAGCAGTGCCTTCCGCCCGAAATGTGCCCTATGGAAAGTGAGTGCTGCCCGCCCTGGCCCTTCTAATGGGGACCTGGCACACTGGGGCTGCATGCAGTGTCGCCAGCGGCCTCTAGTCCATGCCAGCAAAGCTCTGGTGGGAGTGGGCAGGTCGTGGGCACCAGAGGCCGGACAGCCCCCGCCACCCCACTCACACCAGCATTTGGGACTGAATCTATCCCCCTTTTCTCCAGTATTCAGAGCAGGCTGGAGCTCAGGAAAAAGCTGGGCTGCAAGCCCTTCAAGTGGTACCTGGACAATGTCTACCCGGAGCTGAGGTAAGTCCTGGAGGCCTGAGTGTGCCTTGTGAAGGCTGAGGGGAAAAGATGACCAGGGAGCTGGCTCGCAGGGAGACGCGTGGTCCCACCCCACAGGTACCCTGCTTCTGCAGAGCTGTGCTTGCTCGGCCTGAGCCTGGGAGAGTCCCGGAGCACTCCTGGTCTGCTCTGTCCCCTCCTACTGAGGCAGTGTCTCCAGAGCCACATCTGCCCCGTCTTCCCCCACGGCTGCCCCGCTAGGGAGTGTGGAGTAAGAGTGACAGTGGCCAGCTCCTACAGGGGCGGAATGCCGGAAATGCTCTGCCTAACCTTCCTCAGAATCGCTCCTCCTGTGAGCTGCCGGGAGCTGTGTTCTAAGAACACCTCTGGCCCAGCAGAGGACCAGTGCGCCTCTGGCATCAGGTGCTTCCAGGTTGTTTCGTCTTCATGGCATGCCCCTGAAATAATTTCCACACAGGAGAAACAGTTTTAGAGCGTGACCCTTAATCAGCAGACCACAGGCTGGGTGTGGTGCACACATCCTTAGTCCCAGGACTCAGGAGCCGAGGCAGGCAGATCTCTGAGTTCAAGGCCATACTGGTTCCAGGACAGCCAGGACTACACAGAGAAATCCTGTGTCAAAATAAAACAGAAAGAAAGAAAGAAAATCAGGCGCCCACAGCCAGTGTCTCTCAAAGGTAAGGCCAACTTGTCTCCTGCCTGAGCGCCGGCACTCGCATGCACTCTGCCCAGCCAGGCAGACCTTGTCTCCCTCCGCCCATCCGGATGTGCACACTGAGTGGTGTAGTCCTGCCGGCTGTGTCCCCAGCAAGGCCTCAGCCTGTGGAGAAATACAAGGCTTTCTAAGACAGCAACAGCCCAGCCTGTGGGTAGTGCTCTCCCTTACCGGAGCACAAGGAAATGGCTCCCATTTACAGTGGTTTTGTTGTTTTGAGATAGGGGGTTTCACCCTCTAGCCCAGGCTGGCCTCAAACTCTCATGGAAATCCTCCCTCAGCCCTCTGAAAGCTGGGGTCACAGGCACACGCCGTCATGCCTGGCCCACTCAGTCTTCAGAGTTAGAAATCAGAGGCTGTAGCCTCGTCGTGTGAGTGACACGAAGCCTCAGTGGAGACCATGTGCAGAGGGCTGAGCAGGAAGCGCAGGCCCACAGAGGCCTTGGCTCTTACAGGAAATTCCTTTCAGGGTTCCAGATCACCAGGACATAGCTTTTGGGGCCTTGCAGCAGGGAACCAACTGCCTGGACACCTTGGGACACTTTGCTGATGGAGTTGTTGGGATTTATGAGTGTCACAACGCTGGAGGAAACCAGGTAGGCGGGCAGCGTGCGTGCCCCTGCAGGCCCGGAGTCCTCAGCTAGAGGTCCTGGGCTTCTTCCTGTAGATCCCGGATGCTGCAGCACCCTCAGAGCCAGCCGGGGTGCTGCAGGTTACTGACAGACCTTGAGCTGCGTGCCTGCTCTGGGCTGGGCTGCAGAGGTGAGGGCTCACTGGAGGAAGCTGTCGTCATCACCGCTGTTCTGCCGGCTGTCACCCCTGCTGACCCACAGTGCTGGGCCCGCGTGTGCACCCGTGCGTTCCCGTCATAAACTGCCTGGTCCCGCCCAGCACGTGCTCAGCTTCAGCCTTCTCAGCTGGAGGCGCAATGATGGTGAAGACCAGCAGACGCTGGATTCTGATCCTCTGCCAACGTGGTGATTGGCACAACTTCCCACTCACCCGGGAGACCTCACCTCATGGCCCTCAGTGCTGTCCATGTACGCATGTGCCATGATGGAAAAAGCCTGAGCACATGAGCGCTGTGATAGGCCTGCCAGGGATCCGGTCTTCGATTTCATTTAACGCTGCTGAATTTAAATCCGGGCTGCCGTGTGTGGCAATGGCTGGCACTCCAGTGCCCGGAGGGGTCCAGAGGCAAAGATGACAGCAGCAGGTGTCCCTACGTGACCTAGTCCCCTCTGAGTTGATGCAGAGCGAAGCTCTTTGGGTCAGGTGCATGGATGGGAGACATTTCCTCCTGGCAGTGCTGGCAGTGTGGATGGGGCTCTGGTGTCTGAGCCTCAGCGGCACATAGGAAATGAGGGAACTGACGGCCATGCTTTTTAAGTGGCAGCTCAGGAAGGCACTTTGTAAGTATTTTACAAATTCAGGTTGTTGAAGGGCCAGCACGGAGGTGGCCACCACTGCTGCTCGCATGGCCAAGCGGGCCTTGGGAGTTCAGTGTCACCCTTCTTAAAACACAACGTGCACCTGTGCTCTTCCTGGTCGGCCACGGCCCTCCCAGCATCTTCCACACTCGTTGCATGGCGACAGTCTAGGTCCCCGGTGCCCAGAGGTCCCCGTGACTCCCCTGACCCTAAGCATCTGTGGCCACACGTGTGTGTGGTGGGCCAGGGTCCCGGGGGTCCACACCCTAGAGCCGCATCTCCACACGCTGGCCCGTCTGGAAGCAGGCACACTGCATCTAGAGACACACACCACACCATCACTGAGGACATACAGCTGAGGAGAGAAAGGGTTCCTTCTGACTCAAGCTCCACGGGGCACATCACAGCATCTGGTCCCTTGTCCACCGTCTGCTGGGGAGGCCAGACTCCAGAAGGTTTACTCCGTGACTCAGAGCCCAGGCCTGCCTCGGGCCTCACCAGCTCCTCTGTCCTCGCAGCCCCTTCTCTTTCCCTCCACTGCTCCCCACCCCCACCCCATGCGCTTCTCAGAGTCAAGACCACACGTCCCCAAGGCAGCCCTGAAATGGGAGTTCTGCCTCATTGGGTTTCAGTGTCTTGCTGCCAGCAGACTATTGCTCAAAGTTAAGCCAGGCTTCTCTAGTGACTGCGTGTCACCCTCTCCGCTGCCCTGTGGCCTGGAAGAGAACATGCAATCGCTGTAGCACTTACAGAATACATTCATGCATCTTCATTTTCCCACTGAGGGACACAGAGGTCAGAGGGGGTACTGGGCTCACTGGGGCCTCCACTTCTGGACCCTGGGGGCCTGTGGGGTGCCCGAACCCTCAAAAGGATCGGGTTCTTAAGTGACTTTAGGAAGCCCTACATAGGGCCTTCTCCCCGCCGCTGCCACCATAACTGGCATTCCGTCTTCCGTGGCTCTACATGATCTTGTTTATCCTTCAAGGAGGTAGTTGGCAGCCCTGCCCTCTTCGTGTACATGTGTCTGAATTCTAAAAGCATAGGCAAGAATATTTAAATTCATTCAGACTCGGTTTTCCTGTCTGCAAAGTAACATACAAAACCCTCCCATGGCTCCTGTGAAGAGGCGTGAGACAGCTTGGCACATAGGGAGAGTCCAGTTAGGAGGAGCCGTGCTGTGTGCTGACTTCCTGCAGGTTCAAAGGACTGATGACACCAGCAGCTCCCCAGACTTCAGCAGTGCACCTACTCGCCGAAAGCCACAGTGTGTCAAGAATGGTTTTCACAGTCAACCTACTTCAGCCCAGAGTCATTCCAGAACAATGTAGGAGGGATTGTGGGTTAGAGCAGGACAGCTGACCTGGATCTCTGGCTTGCATTTGGAGCTGAAATGCTCAGTACTGTCAGTCTTGCCAGTGGCAGTCACTTTTGAAACAGCTCCTTCTGGTCACTGTGTTAGCTGCTGTTCTTGCCGCCGTGACCGAATCCCTGACAGAAGTGACTTGGGTTTATTTTGGCTCCTGGATTGGGAGGATGGTCCGTTGGTCATGGCTGGCAGGGCTTGCAGCTGAGGCCGCAGGAGTGTGCGCTTCTGCAGGGGTCCATGTATTCAAACCCATTTCCCACCAAGGCGGGCTCAGCAGCCAGGGGTGGCTGTGGCGCTCGGCTCTGCTCAGATCCCGGGGTCCTGAGTGAAGTCCACAGGCCTGCCCTGACTTGGCGTCTCTTCCAGGAATGGGCCTTGACGAAGGAGAAGTCGGTGAAGCACATGGACCTGTGCCTTACTGTGGTGGACCGCTCGCCTGGCTCCCTCATCAGGCTGCAGGGCTGCCGGGAGAACGACAGCAGACAGGTGTGTCACTCGGGAGCAAGCCTTCGAGGCGGGGACAGTGACTAGGGCCTAAGGGCCAGTTGCTGTCCTACACTAGAGGTCTCGTGTCCAAAGTCCCAGTCTCATTTCCTTCCTCAGGCCACAGGACATTGATGAACTACTTGCTTTTTCTGCTTAACTTTACAAAAATTCCAGTCTAAATGGTTAAAGAGCTGAGTCTGACCTAACACATAGACTTACCAACCTATACCCAACAGGAAGTGGAAATCTGATCTTCTCCATGGCTGGCAGTTTTGTAGCATAATGTTTTCCTGAGGTTCAGGGCCACAGCAGCCTCCTCAGCTCCCTGCTGGTCTCCAGATTACTTCCTCCACTGGGGCAGAGCTTATTGGAAGCTGGCATGTTTTGTCTGCATATTCCCTGGGGATCTTGGACAGTCCACCTCTCTGAGCCCTCGGGTGGCAGCGTGCAGGCCTGGCAGTCCCTTCTAACCTGCAGGTGGCGTGTGGTCAGTCTTCCCACCTTCCCTCCCTAGAAGACAAGTATATGGAGAAAGTGGGTGTAAGGTCTCCCAGAGCTGCACACAAGCGTCCTTCTGTCCACCTAATCTCACAGAGGGAGGCAGAGGCCCTGTTTGCCTACCCACCACCACCACAGCCAGCATCTGGTTCCTGTTTAGGTCCTGGGTGTGAGAGAAATGCTTGCACAGGGTCTTTTCTGGCCCCATAGCTGGGTACCCTGTCCTTGTCCTGCAGAAGCCCAGCCCACCCTGTGCTCACCCTCTGTTGTGTCATCTCTGTTGGCACAGGTGTCTGACTTCAGTCATACCTGTAGGATGAGATTGTGAGTGTTGAACCGAGGAAGGCCGCTGTCCCCTGGGCCTGCTTAGAACACAGCCAGGCCTTGAGGTGATCTGACATAGGGGGTGATAAAGTGAGGCCTCTGTCTGGTCTCCAAAACTCTAGAGAAGAAAACAAGTCGCTGCCGTAAGCGGCAGTAGAAACACCTGCCCCAGTGTTTCTCTTGGGGTCCGTACCTGAGCTTCTAAGATGGGCTACACGTGGTCCTTCTGGGTGATGAGAAGAGCTGTGAGCCTCCGCCTCTGAGGGTAGGGAGAAGCGTTTCAGTAAGTGCAGCGCACACTGCATCCGGTAGGCGCCAGCGCTGAAGACCGCCCCCCGGGACGCCACCTGCACTGCTTCCTAGCACCACTGTCCAGCGGACGCTTCAGCCTGTGCCAGAGTCAGGTTCTGTTCACCTCACGCTCTGTCAGGAAGCTCAGGGGACTTGGCAGACTCCAAGCATGCTTTCCATGGCAGTGAGGGGGACACGAGAAAAGTGATAGCATCAGGACCAAGGACAGAAGGAGACAGTGCGGCAGCAAAGCCTCTCTCGGGCCGACTGGGGGCCCCGGCTCACACTGTTGGCAAGGAACTGGGTGAACAGGTAGGGAAGTAACCAGTGTCGAGAGCCGCTCACATCACCACGCTTCTGGAGGGTCAGCCTCGTGCCCTGGGTCATGCTCTGCCCCCTGGCCTGCCACCGGGAAGCAGCTCCTTGGCATGCCTCGGTGTGGTGCTCCACTGACCAGTGGCAACCTTGAGTTTCCAGCACGAGTCTGTGTGCATTTGCAGGGTCGAAGCGGGGAGGAGGCAAGAGTGAGAAAATGTTCCCTGTGAGAAGGCTTTTCAGAAATACTTACTCCGAGGAGCTGCAATGCATGTACAGAAAATTAATTAGAGCCACAGGCCTTGTTAATGAAAGGGGAGCCGGGGGGAGAAAAAGAAAAGTGTGTAATTTAAAAGACAAAAGTATAAATGTGTAAAGAGGATGTTTGTGTTACTTGTTAAACAGCAGGACAGGGCGCCTCCGGCTTCTTGAGGCCATTGGGGCTTTGTGCACAGCACAGCGAGTTGGTGGCCTTGCTGGCTCTGGTGTGCTAACGTTCTTCAGAGCATCGTAGGTGTACTGTGCGCCCAAGAGCGGCACGGAGGGCAGTGGGCACTCGAGCAGGGGCGTGTGCAAACAGCAGGTGTGTGTCCAAAGCAGCCTGCAGGCCCTGCGCTGGCCCTGGGCTCCTGTGCCTTGGCTGTGCTCTCATCTGTGCTCTTGTCTGTTGCAGAAGTGGGAGCAGATCGAGGGCAACTCCAAGCTCCGGCACGTGGGCAGCAACCTATGCCTGGACAGCCGCACAGCCAAGAGTGGAGGCCTGAGCGTGGAGGTGTGCGGTCCGGCCCTGTCACAGCAGTGGAAGTTCTCACTTAACCTGCAGCAATAGGGGGCCCCCACCGTCCGCCTGCACACCAGCCACGTTTGGCCAACACATCATTGTTTCTGACACTTCCGCAAAACTATATACCTCAGTGTTCCATCGTGATCTGAAAGTCTCAAGTCTTCAGCGAGGCGTGAGCTGTGCAGAAGAGGAAACGGGCCCCTGGGGCTCAGGACAGAGGCTCCCTCCCAAGGCTGGCACTCTCTGCCACTTTCCACTTCCCGCTCACGCCCAGCAGAACAGCCCAGTGCTGCTTGGAACAAGTGGACAAGCAGCAAGCATGTTTCTTTGAGGACAGGGGGCAGGGCAAGTGCCCTTACAGCAAGAACTCAACAATCTCCATTTTGTTTTTTTACCTTTCCAAAATTGTGTGTGTGAACCGGGCATGGTGGCCAGTGCCTGTAAGTCCATCACTCAGGAGGCTGAAGCAGGCAAGACCCTGTCCAGGGAAAACAAAAGAAAGCGATGCCCAGAGAGCTGCCCTTTACTTGCAGGCTTCCTCTCTTTCCCTGTCTTTGCACCTCTGGGCTCGCTGGCCTCCGATGGTCCCCTCTCCAGCTGACATACTCGATGTGTTAGAACATGGACTTTCCTGTGTGGCCACTAACTAGAGATTCATAGAAAGAATAATGATCCACTCCCCGTGCTCTCCTACATCACCCTGTGAACCCCTCAGCGCAGCTCGGCCATGCAGAGGGGCTGTGCTCCCGGAGCAAAGGTGGCATTGCTGTCCCCGGAGCCTCACCAGCCACCAACACTGCTCTTCCAGCCGGAGGCATCCGCTGAGTGCCCATTGTCATCTCTACGCCTAAATAGGTTACCCCTTTTGGCAAGCATTGCTTTGGGTTTTCTTTTAAAATTAGATTTCTGTTCTTTAGGAAAACTCAACCCTACAGCTTCTAACCAGTGTGAGCCAGCAGGACCCCACTGCCTGGCGACAGGCCAGGCACACTGACAGCTGTCACATGCTCTCCCCAGGCTCATAGTGGCTTGAGACCCTTTGATACTAAGCAGGCTGCCACAGAGCACTGAAGAGCCTTCAGCGTGTAGGTGGACCCCACATGGCTGCAGCCCTGGTGTGGGTAACACCCCCAGGTACATCCACAGGAATTGTGGGTAGAGTTCAGACCACAAGGCCCCTGCACTCACGCGGAGGACCTAGGCAGGTGTCAGTCACAGAGCTGACCTGAGTGCAGGCAGGGGAAGGGATGCCTGGGTAAGCATCGAACCCACATCTCCGCTGTCCCAGAGATCACGGGTACCAGAGCTTCCGGTGTGCAGAGGGGCCCGCCTGCGCCCAGAGGGGGTGTGGCTAGGCTTCTACTTGAGGCACTCCATGTGCGCACACGCCAGGGCCACGGACCCTCTGTGAAGGCCCGGCCCGGTGCTGACCCTGTCTTTTTACCCCTGCCAAGCAACCATCAAAAGACGCGCTATCACAGACAGGTGCCCATGTGTCTAAGTCCACACATGTCCACCTTCCGGGTAGGCTGTGAGGACAGTCACTCACAGGTACGGGTGCAGAGCTGTGGAGGACAAGGCAGGAGCACGCTGGAGCAGTCCAGACAGTCTGTGCTGATGAAGCCTGGCACCTCTGCACCGCCATTCTAAGAGTGAAAAACATGTGAAGCTCCATGGGCTGTTTTTAACTGCGGGTGTGAGTGGAGTCGCCCGGCCACACACTCACACCCCACCCCACCCTGCGGTCTCCTCACCTGTACCATCTGATTGTCTGGCCACCGGGCACGGCTCAGCCCGCCTCTGGACAGAGTGGGGCTGGGCGGGGCCTCGTGCGAGCCATGTTTACATGAGTGTGCCAAAGTGACCCGTCGCGCTTGCATTGCTTGTGATCATCGGGTCTGTGCCGCCCTGCCACTCCTGTTTCTAAAACTAAGACCTTCCAGGAGCCCTGGGCGCACGCAGGCAAAGGTGGTCGTCTTCTGTGGTGGTCCTTGCGTCTCTGTGAAGCTGAAAATGATGGTATCTGTGAGTATGTTTTGCAAATTCAAAATATAGTTTGGTAATTTTTTTTCCAGTTGATTTTTAAAAAAAGAACTGCTGTACAGAGCTTGTACTTTGTCCATTTTATAGATGGAAACCATCCTTGAAATTGTTTAACTTAAATAAAGAGAAGATACTTTATAGATAACGCTCAGCTGCCGTCTCTCGGGCTCTGTAAGGTTCCAGCCCAGGCAGAGGCTGGTTTGAAGGCCTTGCCTCTGGGCCCGTCCCCATTTCTCACTGCTCACCTGAAGCACCCCTCAAATGCTGCACCTCTGTTGTCCGCTCATATTCGTGACAACCCAGCCAGCCCCCGCAGTGCATGCACGCTGTACAGATGCTAAGAAAATGCTGGAGACAGAAGTGGGCCCTGCTGGAAGTTACCCTGATGCTGTGCGCCCCACTCTGTAGTCTGCCCCGACAGTTGACACACACCCTCTAGGTACCAAGTTTTTTACACTTAAGTAATGTGTGGTCCTGCTCACCAGCCTCCTGGGCCTCTCCCTCTCCGTCCTGGCCCAGCACGTGTCCTCTAATGCACCTTTGTGTGACCAGCTGCGTGTCCAGAGAAAGTAGCACCAACCAGCTGTCTTGTAGTTTGGGCCAGGATGAGAGAGAGCAGGGACCGGCCAGGAAACACCTGAGCCTTCTGAGACCACAGTGTGCATTCGCTCCATTATTTGAGACGCCGATATTTTGGCTCTGTGGCTACCTGAGAGGCAAAGGCAGGAACTTAGAACGCGGTACTGTCTCAGGACCTCAAAGTGTCTGAAGAGACTTAAGCCATGTTTCTTTTCTAAAAGACCTCCCGTCCCTGGTGTTCCCTGGAGCTAGGAGGAGGGTGGCAGGATGTATGCCCCCCCCCCAGGAATTAGACCTAGAGCCACACCCAGTTCAGCTGTGCTGGGGTGTGAAGGGGAACCATGGGGGCCCCCCTCTCCACTAGTTCAGTGAGGCTCAGAAAGGCGAGCGCCTTGGACCATCACGGGAGGAGCTCTTGGGTTCAGCACTGGGTGGCGCCACGTGGAATCTGGAGCTGCTAGCTGGCTTGCTGAGAGGACATCCCAGCACGCCTTTCCTTACCCGGGAGCTGGGGAGTTCTGTTGGAACCATGTCACCTCCAGCTATTTCAGGTGTAGATGCTCAGCATCCCACATAGCTTCCTAGAGACTGGCTCTGCCTCAGTGCTGAGCAAGCTGTCCACTCCCACCATGGGACACACACCTCCGACAACGCCATGCCGCTCCTAGAGGCAGGATGCAGATGTCAGGAGCTCGGGAGGCAGGTGGCCAGCTGCTTCGTGTGTCCTCATCCGGGCACAGAAAAGGGGCACCACTTGCTGAGCCAGGGCCTGTGAGGCCCACCAGCGTTGGATGGATTTGGGCCACAGCAGGATGAATGGAGCAATGGCATGGTTTTAGAGAGGGCGGCCACTGGCCTGCTGAGCCCTTCCTCTCCCTGGTACCTGCTGGTGGCTCAGGGTTCCCCTCAGGAGGGTTTCAAATGGGGGCGAGGAGAGCAAATTGCTGCAGCTCACAAAAGAATCTGGTCACACCAAAGACACAGCTCGCTTACAGTCGTCACGATGGGCAGTGGGGTGTCGTCTCGCTGCTGTGATTCCAAAGAAGCAATTAATATACACACTGTACGGAAGTCTGCAGTAATTAGTGGAATGAAAATAGCTGGTTCAAGAAAAAAAAAAAAAAAAAAAAGCAGATAAGGAAAGGAAAGCTTCAGGGTTCTCAGAAGCACCTCAGTGTGGGTGGGCAGGTTCTTGTCTCCTTGTCTGCGCTTCAGAGCGCCCCCGTGTGGCAGATGGGAGCCTTGCATCTCAGCACCCCCTGTTGGAGATGGGCTTAATTTTAGCTATTCTTTTACCTGGGTACAAGGATGCTAAACTGTGTCCAGCAGAAACTGGCCTGGAGTAACCGTGTCACCGTTTGGCCATCCAGCACCCTGCTGGAACAGAAAGGTGATTTCAGGAGCTAGGACTCCACCCATCTTGCGCATCGGCACAGGAGCTCTAGGTCCTCTGGCCCTTGGGTTCCAGAACTTTCCCAGACACCTCTGGTTCCCAGGCCTGTGAGCACATGCTGAGTCACATCACAGGGCTCTGACCTGCAGATAGCCTGACGTGGGTCTTCTCCGTGTCCAGGTCAGGTAAGCTGCCTTGCCTGTGGGTTTTTGTTTGGGGTTTTTTTTGGTTTTTTGTTTGTTTGTTTGTTTTGTTTTGTGTGTGTGTGTGTGTGTGTGTGTGTCTGTCTGTCTGTACGTCTAGGAAACCCTGACTGACACCAGAGGGTGCCCAACTTGTGTCTTACTGATATCACCTCGGTAGCTGAACCAGGAGAAAGTTCCAGGAAGACTCCTCTGCTGACCTCAAACACCCACAGACAGAGCCCAGGGCTCAGGGTAGAGGGCCTGGGGTAGAGCCTCCTTCCCTCCACCTTGGAACCGCATAAGTGAGGTGGGTGAGAGAGAGCAAGGCCCCAGAATAAAGGGGAGAGAAAGACCCTGTGAGGGGGACCCTGGGCCGTGGAGCTGTGGTTAGGGGTTAGGTTAGAGCGTGGGACTGTGGGGAGACTGGGCCTGACTCCTGCTGCCTCCCCAAGTCCCATCCCAGCAAGGCCAGGAAGAGGATGAGGGAGAGAGGGTAACGCCAGCCTGTACTGAGTTCTTTGTCACCACGGGTGCCACACAGGGAAAGGAGAAAGCACTCGAGGCCGGAATGGTGAACAGAAAGGGACAGTTAGTCAGTGACACTTGCTAGGATCGGCCATGCGCTTGGTTCAAGCGAGGCACTAGCCCTGAGACTGAGCCTGCCCTGGGTGGGGGAGGGGCACTCATGCAGTGCCCTGTGTAACAAGAGGCGGAAGGGTGGCAGGCCTCCGGGAGAGGCCAGGCCTTGTGAGAAGAGAGTGGGGTCCCGAGGCAGCCCAGTCAGTTTGGGCTTGCTGACTAGACGCACCTCTCGCACCCTAGGGCAGTCCAGAGTGGGAACCCTGTGCTCGCTTGCAGGAGTGACACCGTGGTCAGGTGAGTGAAGAGGGCGTCGGAGCCTGGAGCCTTCTGCGCATACCTAGCAGCCTCCAGGAGCAAAGCCGGGACCTCGACCCCGAGAACCTGCCAATGGAGACACTGAATCTCTGCTGATGTGCTGTCTTGAGTGAACAGGCAAAGGGACAGCCCTGTGGCCTTCACCCAGGGAGCAGGCTGGAGACAGGGACAGATGCACCAGAGGCATGAGGACACCGCTGCCGGAACCGAGGGCCGCAGCTTCGTAGTCGGGGGTCAAGACAGGCCGGGCTTCCTCCCAGCCCTGGGTACAGGGACCCAAGAAGACCAGCGATAAGAACCAGGCAGAGGACAAGTCTGCAGAGATGCCCGACCTCGGAAAGGAGTAGGTAGGTACTGGACAGGTAAGGGTGAGATAGGGCTTCTGGGGTGTGGGGGAGGTGCCAGGGAAATCTCCAGAATCTTGTAGCTCTGGGTTTCCCTGAGAAGCAGCTTGGGCAGCAACCCTCCCCCCTCCCCAAGGGTTTGGAATCATCAGTATTTAGTTATCAATTGTGAGGACCCGCAGTGGAAGAGCTGGAGGGTGGATTGCAGCCTGGGAACTTGAGTGCGAACATGAATGCACCTGTCAGATGCCAGCCCTGCCCCCATGTCACTGTTTCACCCCACAGGCCACGCCAGGGACCCAGAAGAGGCCATCAGCACGGGCTGTGCACCCGCCAAGTCCAGGTTTAGTCCTGCATTTGGAGGCAAGGCCTCTGAGACCAGGTTCAGTCCTGAGAGCGGAGCTTCCTGACCGGGACTGGGGCCCTGCTTCTCCATCTGGGGGCACACTCTGCCACTCTGCAGGAGGGTGGCTCTGCAGACTGCTGTTTGCTGTCCCCTCCCAGTTCTCTGTTACTCTCATTAGGGTCTTGTGCTCCCGGGCTTTGGGAAAAGGAGGGGATGCCTAAGGCTGGAGCCCTGGAAACACAGGGAACAGCAGGGCCCTTACCCAGCATGCCAGAGGGATAGACGTTTCTGTCAAGGACAGACATTTCTCCTGCTCAGGCCTACGGAGTGGTTCTCTCATCCCAGACCTGAACTTCACTAACTGCTTCGCTCAGTGGGTTTGGTGATGGTCACTTGTAATTGCAGAACTTGAGATGGAGGCAGCGGGCAGCAGGCATCCAGGTCACCTTTCGCTATATCACAAGTTCCAGATCCGCCTAGGATCCTGCCCCAGAAAACAAAGAAAAGGAAGGAAGTAGAGGAGCCGGGGACTCACTCAACTGAATGTCTTCCTGCCAAACTTAGCCCAAGAAGCGGGAGACTGCCACGGCCCGGGCGTGAGGGAGCATGCTGTGCCTGGGACGGTTTCTCTGATGTGTCGTTGACTCAAACTGTTAAGAACCAAAGGGAAGGCTTGCGGACACAGACTGCAGGGCTGCGGGCCGAGGCAGGTTCTGTCTGGGAATATTGTCTGGGTGACCCGAGCCCCCTCCTGATGACCTCATCCGTCACCCACATGCCCTAGGAAATGGTTCTAGATTGTGCTGGCAGAGTGGTACCAAGAGTGCCCCTCACACAAACAGCTCCTGCTGCCTGATGGTCAGGTGGTGAGATCGCAGTGACAGTGGGCTTCACAATGGCCAGAGACCAAACGTCCGTGTCCTGGGCACGGCTCTGTCCACACAGTGCAGGGCCTTCCTTTGGGTTTGTGGCTGCCGCTAGTGTGACCAAGCCCTGCCAGGCGTATAAGAGGGAAGATGGTACAAGAGGTCCAGGCAGCCATCTACCTACTGTGCTCCGGTCCCTGCACTGGTCCCTTCCCCGGCCTGCCTTGCGTAAGCGTCCTCACAGCCCCAGCTGTGTGCCTGCATTCACTATGAGCTGAATTTCTGCTAGGGTTCCAGGGGTGCTGTGAGCACGCCCCATCTTAGACCTTTTGTGGGATTTCACCCCAAGTTCTCAACATCTTCTGGGTTGGAAACAGCCAAGATTCAGGTTTGGGTCAGCCTGTACAGCAGGGGTCGCAGCTGCTGTCCTCTGCCTCTCAGTGACCCTTAGTGCCCTTGTGGGAATTGGGGCGCACTGTCCAGGGCTCGGGAGGCACGCCACCGCACCTGCTTGACTGAATCCCTGCCAGTCAGC